GCATGGGTCTGGTTTTCCTGGTTTGTTGGACTCCTGGCAGCACAAGCGCTTTGTTGACATGAGGCATGAGCGTTGTGTATGAGGAGCTGTTATGTCTGTGGGTCCTGTTCCCAAGCATGTCAGAGACGGTGAGGGTGGAGCAGCAGTGACTGTGGTCCGGTCGGAGTTGTTGAGGGTGGCGGTGCCTCAACTGTGTTCTGGTTGGAGATAGCCTGAGTGGCATGGCAGTGACCGTGTTCAGGTCGGAGATTGTGAGGGTGGCACCATAGTCGGGGACGCTGAGGGAGGTGCTGCCTTGACTGTGTTCCAGTCGGAGATGGTGAGGGTGGCACCATAGTCGGGGACGCTGAGGGAGGTGCTGCCTTGACTGTGTTCCAGTCGGAGATGGTGAGGGTGGCGTGTCAGCTACCGTGTTCTGATCTGCCGCTCACAGGTCTCTCAGTTGTCAACTTGACAGCACCTCACAAACACCCAGGACAGAGCAGGGCTGCACTGTGCGGTTAACAAGGCTGTGATCTTGGGAAGACTGCAGCATTGTCCTCTTCTGGAGTGCTGGTCACTGGGCACCACCAGCCTCTTGGCTAGTAGCTGAGGGTCTGACCACTCTGTCCCCACGAGCGCGTTCTGGGAGCTCAGTGCCGTCATGCAGACTCGCCTCTTGTTGACCTTCCTGTGTGTCCTTCCTGCAGACCTCCACCTTCCTCTCTTGGAGCGACTTGTAGGTGCATCCACTGACCTTTCACTTAGCATCGACACATTGTGTGCCTGAGCCACCAGGACTTCAGTGGACACAGGGCTTGTAGTCTGGGTCCCTGTCCTGCAGTGCCACTCCATCCCAGAAGGGGGCAGTGATGGCCTTTGGTACAAATGACAGGACACTGGTGACCAGTGGGAGCCCGAAGTGACAACAGAGAGGCCGTGTGTGCACATGGCCATCATGGTCAGGGTGACAGGACAATGACACTGACAGGTGACAACAGTGGGCCTGTGTGCACATGGTCATGAGTCAGGGTGACAGGAGTGACACTGACAGGTGACGACAGGTGAGTCAGAGGACAGTGACAGGGTGAGGTGACAACATTGGGCCCGTGTGCACATGGTCATGGTCAGGGTGACAGGAGTGACACTGACAGGTGACAACAGTGAGGCCATGTGCCCAGAGTCACGGTGAGTCGAGATGACAGGACAGCGATGACCGTGACAGGGGTCTTAGGGTGACAACAGTGGGGCTTGTGTATAAGTGATCCCTGTTAGGGTGACAGTACAGTAACGACAGTGACAGGTGGGCTCCTGTGTGCACATGGTCACTGAGTCAGGGTAGCCAGACAGCAATGACAGTGACAGGTGAGAGTCTGCGGGGACAGCAGCGGGTCCTGTGTGCACAGATTGCTGTGACTCAGGCAGCAGCTCCGACGGTCACCCCGAGGGCATTTTGGCTGTAGAACAGATGGGCTATGAGTGGACAGTATGATGTAGTTATTGAGTGCCCTTGAGTCAGAACCGACGCGTGGCTGACCCTGCAGCAGATTTTCCCTTGGGACGAGATTGCCCACCCTTCTCCCTCAGAGCAGCTGGCAGATTTGAACCGCCTGCCTTTGGGATTGTAGCGCAGCTTCTTATCACCAGTCCCCCTACTAGATCTCCTGCGATATGATGAGTGTGGTGTTTTCCAGCTGTGAAGCAAGTGTGGGTCTGTATGTGGTGTGACGGGGCTTAGCAGCGCCCTGCAGGGTGACAGAATCAGCCTGGATGGACAGCCAGGAACGGCAAACGCCTGCAGACAGAGAGTAGCCTGGACGTTGACGGTGTTGGAAACATGGCTCGGGTCCCGACAGAAACCCTGCTGAACAAAGGTCTCAGCAGAGCATTTCACTTCTGCTAAGTCTGACCAGTACACAGCCTGGTGGGCTCTGCTTGGGTTTTATCCCTGACACGAAAGCAGAGGCTGTGTCTCACTGTGCTGGTCGAGGGTTTTGACCTCACAACCTCATTCTTACCTGGTTTGCTAATTTGTCCCATGCTTGAAAGGAGAGGGCTAGGCCGTGAGGGTGTTTGCAATGTCTTTGTTTCACAGGATGATAGAGCAGCAGAAACTGACCTTGGCGGGTTCACAAAAACAGTACAGGACAAGGGAGTTTCTCTTAGTGATTTTCAGAAAACAGTTCTTGTTTTAGCTTTAAGTCCATTTATAACTTTGAAAGACAAGATTCATATGTTTTTCTTTCTTACAATTTCCCTCTCATTTTATGTTCTACTTTGTACTTTTTTCTTCCAATTTTGTCGGAGAAGTTGACTCTGATGTTCTTGAGTATCGAGCATAGAGACTCTTAGAGTAAGGAGGAACCTATGTATGTTTGAGTATAGTTGTTTCTATATGTTTTTGGCCTAGACCCCTAACATGAGGTATGATACCATAACATATGAGTAGCAAGGCCCTTAAATACAAAAATCAGTGATGTCTGGACTGAAGTCGTCAATCTTTTCTATTTTTTTTTTTTTATATAGCTGTAGGATTTATTTTTTCATAAGAGCACTATTATATTTTTTTACAAGTTGTTTTCAAAATTAGCATAGCATACTTATAAAAATGCCTCCCAGCCAGGGGGAAGGGTGCCAACATGGAATAGCATGGCAAACCAACATGGAATAGACAAATTATGTGTAGAAAGCTATGACACTGGGTTATCAGTCTTTTTCTTGTTGTGGCCCAGGAGTATTCTGTAAACATTTGTTACAATCTTTTCTATTTTTTTGAACCATTGTTCTCTGAGGTTAGAGAATGGATCATTTGCTCCTGAGTTTTCAGTTACTTAATCTGCTAGAGTGGTTAATTTTTTAAGACTTCGGTCATCAGGGACATTGTTACTGGGGATAAAGGTACAGCATTGGGTTCTAATCTTCTATGTGTACACTATTTGGACTAAAAGAAGCCTGAAAGCAGGAGCGGCATCCACTTCTGAAATGGCTTGCCTCCGGAAACTCTATGTACGAACAGTGCTCAGGCTGTTCCTTCATAGGGTCGCTATGAGTCCTCTACGACTCGACGGCATCAAACAACAACAACAACAATTTGGAGAGGCATCACCTGTGAGAACTTACTGGAAAACCAGAGATCTCAAGCTGGAGTTCTGGGACAGGGACAAAATAGCATCTAGGGATTGAAGATGAGGTGGGGGTGTGGGGCAGCAGGATGAGGTGGCCCCATGAGACGAGTGCAGGGGGCAGCCATGGAAGCCCCT